TATTTTTTTATTAACTATAAAAATATAACTCATTCTAACAAGTTATGGATTTTATTGCGATAAATAACAAGATCAATTCAGAACTTAAGAGTCGTTATATGCGACACATTATGTTGTATTAATCACGTGAATTATAATTATTATGGTATTATTGGTTTCACGTTGGTTGAAACCTGGAAAATATTATATACGCATCCGTTATGCTTCCCAAATTTTGTCATGATAAATAATAAAATTTGGAAATGTGTTAAGTCTTACGAATCTCAAATACCATAAGACTTCAATCAACAATTAATCCTAAACACCAAACAATTATAGGTGTCTGATATACTTAATATGGAAAGTTTAGGATCACAATGCATAGACTCATTGTTAGGATCCATCATACCCACGAGACGTTCTATGAGTTACGTTTGTTTAGAAAGCTTTATAAGTTATGATCACTTCCTAAGCTGCATGTGTTATGTTTGTCACAATCCTAAGACCGTACATCTTAGTGGGAAATTCCTTTGTGTCATAACCGTTAATTTGTATTGGAACGATGAACTCTAGGTATAAGTTCAGGATCACATACTTATATGGGTTGACATCCTGCCACCGTTGCTAGCTACAACCATTGGCTGACGAGTCAAAACGAGCATTGCGTTTCCTAAACGATAAAGTCCCCAAGATTGAGCAAACTTTGGTGTAGACTTTTAGCACTGAAACTTGTAAGTGCTAGTGCAGAGGTGTACATCACAGTTCAGTTATGACCTCATCATAAATCCCGGGTGTGCCTTGTTATCGTATAGAATCAATATTATATTTATATGGTGTTTTGTTCAGTGATACTAGCGGAGAGAGATTGTATGTAGCGGATAGCTTGTGACTCAAAACGATAAGTGTCACTACCAGAATTTAAGTCATATATTACTTAATTAATAACCTTACCTTCATCGTCAACAATCCATAAATTGATGATTTTATAAGCTTCACAAACAATTTCTGCAACATAACCACTAATTATCAGTTTGTTTTTTTTTAACTGTGCATAGCTAAAAATAAGGAAGATGGTAGTTACATACCTTGTTTATAGGTATCAATTTATTTCCTATAATTAATTCATATTAAAGTAAATGGTAAAATTTCTATGTTGCCCTTAAGAAATGATTGGTTTACATTTGTTTTCGCGCTCTCAACCTTTTAACGTTTTCAATATAACCTCTCCATATATATATATATATATATATATATATATATATATATATATATATATATATATATATATATATATATATATATATATATGCTTAGGTTATTTTGTTTTTATTAACTATTGTGTACCAGAATGCACAGATCTGGACCATCGTATAGAATAAAATCAAATATCACGATCTGAGGGTCTATGATATTATAATAGGGTAACATGTACCATATAATCACACAAATTTCAGCATAAGGACATTTTAGTCAATTAACCCTCATTAAAAAAGGAAATTTTCGGATTTTTAGGGATAATTAATTCATTTATTTTTAAAAATCTGAATATTTTAAATAAATTCAAATTAAAAAATCCGATTTTATTCTGTCAGAATGACAGAATATCAACCTTAAATTAATAAATATATTTTCAATTTTATTCTTGCAGAATATATTTTCCAATGCAAATATTTTTGATAATTAATCTGATTTAAGAATTCTAGATTATTATTCTTATACATTCAAGTTGGGTCTATGATTTTATTCTTAATACACATCCAAAATAAAATACAAATTCATACATATTCTTACAAACTAATATCCTTATACATTTTAATATATTTATACACATTCTAACAGAATATCATCAAAATAAATAAAATTCTCTAAAATTGCATTCTTGAATATATAATTATTGGACAAATACACTTATATACTTGTTGGACAAATACACTTCATCTTTGCATATATACTTGTTGTTGAACTCGATTCCAAATATTTCTCTTGTATGATCAATATTGAATTCTTTCTTCAACCATTCTGAAAGAATAACATGAATTACTTGTTAGTATTACCATATAAGAAAATAGACTTGTTGTTAACAAACATTCTTAAAGATATTCTTATAGAATGCATTTATATAAATAAATTTTGACAAAATACACCACAAAATGCACTTAAATCATAGTCTTTTCTTCTGTATGACAAAAAATAAAACAAACTTTAAATCATAGCATAATGTTTTTTACTTGTTCCTATCTTGCAACATTTTTTTTTCACTTTTCCTATCTTAACAAATAAGGAGATTGAAATTGAATTCTATCAGAATAATAGGCATCAAGTCGATAAGTGTTACTAACATCATTCTAAAAGAATATTGTGTCCTCTCATTCTAAAAGAATTTGCAGATTTTAAATAACGTTCATTATAAATTATATTGGTGGAATACCAAACTTTCCATGAGTTCACTATAAGAAAAACGCCTAGACATGTACCGAATGAAGAAACCTAATAGGACAAACAAAAAAATCATTATTTATAACCAAATAGATCACAAACATGACTTAACATTAAGTTGACTTTGAGAGTCAAATGAATACAAATTTTAATTAGTTAAAAGGTAATCTGTAATGAAAATGGTTTAGTGAAAACTACTTTGTACTTACCAGAAGGAGAATGCTTCCTCTTTTTCTTGATTTGTCCAACAAGATCATGCCAACAATAGTGATATGAATATGTATTTAACAATTAGTTATGTATTAACACGATATGAAAGAAATGAAACCAAGAAAAAAACTAAGACTTAATAGGGATTTCGATTGCATAAAATCTAATTCCATTTATTCCACACAATTGTTGGCACGCCATTAATCCAACACCAATCTAAAACATACGTAAACCAAAACAAAATTATAATTGAATAAAATTTACAAATCATGAAAAAGTTCTTATGCTTACAATAATCATCGCATCAAACAAATCCAATACTCCAGCATTAGGAAGTTTTTGAAAATTAAGTGTAGTCTCCCATATAAAGAAACAAAGAAACAAGCCCAATTGTCAATTTACGTTTGCACCTTTTTTTTCTTCCTATTGCTTTTCCTCCTACTAATTGAAAAAAAAAACACTACTCAGTTATTGTTGATTTTGGTTCCTGCATAAATACAAACCTTGCGGTGCGCATCGACCATATCACGTGCAAAAGCTTTACTAGCACCTTATCTGATGCCTGATGTGGACGAGTGCGACGGAGCTGAAGGTCGGCAACGGCAGCGCAGATGGAGGCAATCGTGATAACTAAGCGTAGGGTTTCTTGTTTATTATAGGCTCTGACTTAAATATCTTTTGTTTAAAGGGATAACAAGTATTTTAAATATTTACAATAATTAAATATAGCAAAAATTACTATTATACCCTTAAATAATTTATTTAATTTTGTATTATTTCCTAAATTGTCAATTTACGTTTGCACCTTTTTTTCCTTCCTATTGCTTTCCTCCGGATTTGTGACACGTGTAAAAAAGGTGGTGGTCTGCATCGCCCCTTCTAAAAGCCATGTGCGTGGCTCCCTGCCTGTGCACACACAAAATTTTCAATTTTTTTAAAAATCGTATATTTTTCATACGAGCTCCGGTTTCGACGTTCTTTATATCCACACGCAACTATTAACGAGTAGTACAACTTTCATTTAGACTCTATCAGCTAAATCTCATGTTATTTTTAAAGTTATATTTTTATAAGCTTAGATTGTAAAAGTCCGTACGAAAATCATAACTCCTTCATACGAATTACGTTATCGACTGTCTTTATATCGATAGTTTACGGGATCTTCAACTATCGCTTACATTGTTTTGGCTAACACTCAACTGATATAAATTTCGATTTCTGTGTCGCACAGTATTATACTGAAACTTCGAAAAAGTCATAACTCCCTCATACAAATTCAAATTTAGGCGTACTTTACATGCAAGTTCTCACTTTTACGATTACTACGAAGTTCTTTTAGATTATTTTGGCTAGTAAGCAACCTATCTCCGATTTTGTATTTTACGAAGCACCTTGCTATATCGAGCTGAACACAAAACTTCAAACAACTATATAACTTCTTCATACGAAGTCAGATTTGAGGGTTCTGTATATATACAAAATCATCATCACAACTACTATAATTTTCATCAAGATTATTTATCCTAAATAATCTTTTATCAAAAACATTATTTTTATCACTTAATGATAAGATGTCTATTTAGTCTGTAACAGATACAACTATGAATTAATAAAATTGAATATTTATTTATTATAATCACCTAAATCGTCTATTCCTAACTTACGAGGGTTACAGACTTAGATTGCCGTCTTTCTTGGCAGTTAGATCTGAACGGCACTTTCACAGTTTCTTCCATGAGATTTTTTATTGATAATACGTCTCTCATGAATTCTATATATGTGACTCAATGTAATTCTTTGGTTTTGATAAAGTTAAATGTGTTGCGTTTGCGGATTAAGATTAATCATATCCCTACTCATCTTTGCCTTTTGCAACGTGGCTTGAAGTTGGATTCCATTTTGTGTCTTGTTTGCTAGTCGATGGTGGCGTCGTCCAACCATCTTTTATTTCCTGCCCGGAGGTGCAGGTTGTGTTGTCCTTAATTAGTAGGTTTTAGAATATCGTTTGTCCTAATGCTACTAATAAGACACCCTTTAGACACCCTATAATCATTTCTATAAAAAGTCAACCTATAATCAACTACTTGTAATCAACTTTTTCGGAAAACAATGCAATTTCAACCAATAAAAATATTTCAAACATTAATTAGGGTTGTCTAAATGGTAAAATAGGATGTCTTTTTAACCAACCCCTTTATTTTTTATTTTTTCTAATTATTTTTTATTTTTTTAAAAGTTATAAGTAGATCTAAACTTTTTAATTTTGACTGTACAGGATGGTTGAAAAAAATAAAAATAAACTCTGACTTCTTTGTAAAAATTTTTGATACTTGCTTAAAAAAAGTATAGCAGTTCGGATAAATGAAACAGTAAAAAATAAAATAAAGTTAGCGAAAAAATATTTTAAAGGAACTTTCTTTGGTCTCTCTCCGATTCGCCATTTTGACTTCGTTCTAATCCGATTTCCGTTGCTTTCAAGGTTTCAACTGTGAATGGAGTGAGGACAATTCTATCGTTTATAGAGAAAAGGTATGCTTTAATTTCATCCTGCAATTCTCAATTTCATAATTTATAGCCGATTCCGCTATAGCTTCGTAATAAAATCTGTTCCGGTTAAGTCGCCGGTAAATACTGATTTTCTCTTTCTCAAGCTCCGATCTGATAACGCTTCGATTCTCCACATGGTGTTGTGGTTGCGTCAACAGTCTAATTAGGTTTTTGAGCTCTTATGCGAATATCAAATTTCAGAATTAATGACAATAGCATATTTGATTTCAGCCAGATGATTGCCAATAACCACTGTTATAGTTCAACATAGGATGTAAGGATCTTTTGCAGTTTGTATTGTTATGTGATAATGAAATCGCACTTGCTACTATTTAAGAAACATCGCACATATACAGTTCTTAGAGAAAAAACTCTGATATCAAACAGCTTAGACCGAAGGTAAAATGACAATCAAGAACTCAAATTCAGAGCTTGTACCTATCGCATCAACCATTTCTCCACCGAATTCATATGGATCCGTTGTTCTAGGAGGCACTTTTGATCGCTTACATGATGGTCATCGCCTTTTTCTTAAGGTTTGATTCTCCATATCTATTTTCCAATTCACAATCAAACACTCAAACACATCATATGCATGTATTGAACTATTAAAAGGTTCTTATTACATTTTCCTGAGATATGGAGACCTTCAATGGCTAACTGTAGGCAGCTGCAGAGTTGGCTAGGGATCGAGTTGTAGTAGGCATTCTTGATGGCCCAATGTTGACCAAAAAACAGGTTTGACCTTTCTCCTTCACTCTTTCATATCAACACACTCAATTTAACGGATTTCTATTACTCTTCTATTCACATTCACTTGCAGTTTGCTCATCTTATTACACCTATTGAACATCGAAAAAGAGTTGTTGAAGATTACATTAAGGTATTTGAATGTTTATTCTTCATTACTAATTTAGTAAGTATATCATATACAGTATACCCCATTTGTGATTCGTTTTGTTTTCAGTCTATAAAGCCTAATCTGGAAGTAGAAGTTGAACATATAACAGATCCTTATGGTCCTTCAATTGTTGATAAAAATCTTGAAGCCATTGTTGTCAGCCAGGAGACACTACCTGGTGGATTATTGGTAAACAAGAAGAGAGCTGAGAGAGGCCTTTCACAACTAAAGGTGCATATAATATGTTCTTCAACAATTTCACAATTTTTTTTTTACATATAATGGCTGAGTGTAAGGATTTTGTTTTGCAGGTTGAGGTTGTAAATCTTGTATCTGATGAATCTAGTGGAGAAAAACTGAGTTCTTCAACATTGAGGAAGGTGGAGGCTCACATTGCTGGAAAACTTTAGCTAGATTTAATAGGTATGAATCTGTAACATATTTCTACACATGAATCATTCCAATAATAGTTGAATCCAGAGGGATAAATTTGCAACAAAAGTCTTTGTGGACCAAACTTGCAAAAATGGTATAGCAGGGGGTTAAACTTGTAATTTTACAATGATAGAGTGTAGATCTAGAAATGATAAACGTAATTTCTTTCTAGAAGCAAGATCTTATAACTTTTATATTAAAGTGCCTATATGCTAAACAGATTTGCTTCCTACAAGTATGCAATTCAAGTACCCTAATTTTTATTGGATTTACATCTTAATTTCCGGATCTGTATGTTTTACAAATTGTAATATCATTTCTGGTTCTCCATCTTTTCATAAAATTAATGGTTAATATATAAGAAACATCAAGTTGAAAAAAAAAAAAAAAAAAACAGATGATTAGTTATTATTGAAATACTTGAACACTAGCAAATTTACAATTATTCCTGAAAGAAATCATGTATGGGTTATGTGTCGTTAGCAAAGCGGAAATAGAAAACAGAAACAAATGATAATTAATAATTTAATATTGATGGTTATTTATCATTTTGTTGCGTGTAAAAAAAACCTGAGTATTGTTATTATGATTACAAAGTTTGTCCAAGAACTGGTCCTGTATTCAGACGAATTAAAAAGACGGAATAGAGAAGATGAGGAGTTCTTCAATTGAATTCTTACTATATAACTCTGTGAATTAAGAAATAAAAGAAAATTATAATAAAATCGAGCATCAATTGCTTCCATATATTTATCGCTTTCCGAAAGTCAAATAAATAATGCCAAAAGAAAAATGAGATTTAGGAGGTGTTTGAGTTGTTTTTTTAAGAGTCAAAAGTTCTTTTTGGAAAAATTATAAAAAGTTAGGTTTTTTTAATTTTAACAAAAAAATAGTTTTCCTTCTATCTAAAATTCAAAAGTAATTTTTAAAATGTTTCTACCAAATATCTTTTATCTTTTCTCTTTTTCAAAAATAACTTTTGTTATTCAAAAATACAAACCAAAACCCCTTACTTTTCCCTTACATCTTGAGGAATGAATATGACCTTAGGTTAGAGGGACTTTGCCATTCTTTTTAGTGTAGGCGTCATATCACATTTATAAAATAACTTTTGTCGTTTGCAATATTTCATGAATGGTCATTTTGGCATTAAAATTAACTTTTTAACTGTTAGTTTTTTATGAAAAAAATATTTTGCCTTGGACCAATTATACAATAAACCTCAAAGATCATTTGTATAATTTTAAAAATTTTAAATTTTTATATATATATATATATATATACACACGATTATTTATTTTATTTTATTTTATTTCAACAATTTGATAACATTTTTTTTTTCTTTTTTACGGTTTTATACTTTTATTTCTATTTTTTAATTATACTTATTTATGGTTTTTAAAATTTTTTTTTTATTTTGGTTCAAATAAATGAACTTAAATTCGAGAAACCATATTGGAACAATTTTTCTTTTAATTTTTCTTATTTGTGAATTGAACCAGTAATGTTTCTTTTAATTTTATGTCGTTACGGTTCATTTTTTACGTGGATGCTCCAATAAATAATTGAAGTTGTTATATTTATTTATTGAAAATAAAAATTATGTTAAAGTATATATATATATATATATATATATATATATATATATATATATATATATATATATAATTTAAAATTTTTAGAATTACACAAAACATTCAAACACCAAAATTATAATATACTCTAATATAATCATAAATTTTTACACTTTTTGAAAAAGGTCAAAAAACTTATCAAGTTGATGAAAAATAAAACGAAAAAAACAAAAAAGTTAATATACAAAAATATAAAAAAATTAGAAAAAACTAAAAATATAGAAAAGACGAAATGTGTAAGATTTATGAATATATTAATGTATATTACAAATTTGTTGTTTTCATTACTTGAATCAAAATATATAAAAACATTTAAAAAACCTAAATAACTATAAAAAAAACACAAAAACAAAAGGTGAAATATTGATACCTGTAAACTTAAAATTGCTAACGATACATATCCTGTTTGTCGTAAGGTATGCTTGGACTCCAATCACAAGGCATGATTGGACTCTTTTAAAGAGCATCCAATTCATTGTAGAGAGCTCTCGGGTTTCAAGTACCGACACAATATGGTAAGAAATGTTCTTTTCGACATATTTAAGCATGCTGAGGTTTCTGCTAAAAAAGAGGCACCCGTGAACTTTTTGACTGGCCATTTGGAAGGAAGATCAATTAGATTAGCTGATGTTTTAGTTTTTAGATGGGCTGGAAGGAAACATACATGTGTGGATCTAATAGGAGTTTCCCCTCGATGGGCTTTAAGAGTGGAGTTTTTACTGTGGGACAAACTGCTTTAAAAACTGTATCTTGCAAAGTAGCAAAACATGCATAAAAAATCAACGCATGTTTATACCTTTTGCATTTGATACTTTCGCTTTCCTTGTGTTAGATGCTCTGGAGCTCCTTACTAGAGTCCAACAAGTCATGCCTATTAATGTTATGACCCAAAGATCTATGAATGTTGTTTTTAAAATAATTAGTTTTGTCATTCAAGCACAACTTGTTGCTCGTTATATGTTACGTCGATGTAAAACTTTGCTTTAATATTAATATCATAGTAAATTGGTGAAGGAAAAAAAACAGAAAAACCATAAAAAACTAAAATTAAAAAAAAATTAAAAAGATTAAAAAAAGTTATCAAATTGTTGGAAAATAAATTAAATTATATATAAATACATAGCATCCACATAATAACCTAGCCACACACATATATATATATATATATATATATATATATATATATATATATATATATATATATATATAGGGCTAGGTTATTATCTGTTACGTCGATGTAAAACTTTGCTTTAATATTAATATCATAGTAAATTGGTGAAGGAAAAAAAAACAGAAAAACCATAAATAACTAAAATAAAAAAAAAATAAAATAAAAGTTTAAAAAGATTAAAAAAAGTTATCATATTGTTGGAAAATAAATTAAATTATATATACAATACATAGCATTCACATAATAACCTAGCAGACATGGCAATACAAAAGTACTTTGGATATTCATGGCAGACATGGCAACACGACAATATGATAATACTTTGGGTAAACACGCCAACATGATAGTACATTAGTACTTTAGATAGTCATGGCAGACATGGCAGTACAAAAGTACTTGGGATGGCGCAGCAGTACAAAAGTACTTGGGATAGGCACAGAAGTAGAAAAGTACTTGGGATAGGCACAACAGTACAAAAGTATTCGGGATAGACACAACAGTACAAAAGTATTTGGGATAGACACAACATTACAAAAGTACTTGGGATAGGCACAACAGACACAATTTATTATTTCACACACATTTCACTAACCTATCATAACCATTATCTCACACAACTCTATCACGACCTCTCATTTGTTATTTCGCACAACCCTTCACTACCCAATCATATTAGCATTAAGTATGATAAATATATGGTTAAATCAAGTAATACTCATATTGTATGACTACATTAAAAGCAACAAAGACAGTAGACATAGAAATTAAGCATTTATAATACTTGTATTTATGTGTAAGTAGACAGTAACTATGGACTCACTTGACTTAGGTGGGTGATTGGAGAATTCGGCAGCGCTCCGCCAAAATCCTTGACTTTTCTTCTGACGTACCCTAGTTATGAATGTCACTAAGTATTAGTTTAATATTCCTTGCGACTAATGATAGTCTAGATTCCTCATTAATCCCAATGTCTACATCAAGATCTATTAAGTAAGGAACAACCAGGTAGGATCATATCGTAGGTAGGGTCTGTTTGGTATACAGAGCATATTGTTTGGAGATCCTACTTTAAACATTTTACTACATTTAGCCTAGACATCATCCCTGTAAGTAGATCAATCAGTCTAATGACTTAGAATTACTGATAACTCTTAATTACAGGTTCATAAGAATGACTATGACTATAATTAAAAATTACACTTAAATGAAATAAGATAGTCATGGCAGACATGGCAGTACAAAAGTACTTGGGATGGTGCAGCAGTACAAAAGTACTTGGGATAGGCACAGGAGTAGAAAAGTACTTGGGATAGGAACAACAGTACAAAAGTACTTGGGATAGGCACAACAGTACAAAAGTATTCGGGATAGACACAACAGTACAAAAGTATTTGGGATAGACACAACATTACAAAAGTACTTGGGATAGGCACAACAGACACAATTTATTATTTCACACACATTTCACTAACCTATCATAACCATTATCTCACACAACTCTATCACGACCTCTCATTTGTTATTTCGCACAACCCTTCACTACCCAATCATATTAGCATTAAGTATGATAAATATATGGTTAAATCAAGTAATACTCATATTGTATGACTACATTAAAAGCAGCAAAGACAGTAGACATAGAAATTAAGAATTTATAATACTTGTATTTATGTGTAAGTAGACAGTAACTATGGACTCACTTGACTTAGGTGGGTGATTGGAGAATTCGGCAGCGCTCCGCCAAAATCCTTGACTTTTCTTCTGACGTACCCTAGTTATGAATGTCACTAAGTATTAGTTTAATATTCCTTACGACTAATGATAGTCTAGATTCATCATTAATCCCAATGTCTATGTCAAGATCTATTAAGTAAGGAACAACCAGGTAGGATCATATCGTAGGTAGGGTCTGTTTGGTATACAGAGCATATTGTTTGGAGATCATACTTTAAGCATTTTACTACATTTAGCCTAGACATCATCCCTGTAAGTAGATCAATCAGTCTAATGACTTAGAATTACTGATAACTCTTAATTACAGGTTCATAATAACGACTATGACTATAATTAAAAATTACACTTAAATGAAATAAGTGTAGCTTAACTTACAGAGAAACTGATGAAAACTTGGAATTAAGCGGCCATAAAAAAGATTCAAGAGGTCCTAATCGTTGGCTATCAGACACCGCAGGGATTCACTGACAAAAAGATAAGGCAACACTCACATGGAATCCAGAGAAATTGAGAGAGAAATGTAGGAATGGTGAGGGATTGAACTGAAATTCGATTGTTATTTATATAGGTATTTCGTCTGTGCACCGCGCATAGATAAGGTGCACGCTGTACATCTGGTTGGAAGAGGGTGAGATGTCACTTTATGTGTGGTGCCACTGGGTGGAGTAACAGTACTCACGACACACTTTGTCATTGCGCGCAGGTGCGCGTGAAGAATTTATGTTCCCTAGAAAGTGCCTATCTTTTTCATACGAGCTATGTTTTTTATGGGTTTATATCCATGTGTAGCTATCGACAAGACCTCCAACTTTCATTTAGACTCCTTCGGCTAGTTTTGACTTTATTTTTAAAACTATATTTTTAATAGGCTTAGACTATTAAGTCCGTTAAAAATTCATAACTCTTTTATATGACATCCATTCTCGACTGTCTTTATATCGACAAATAGGTAAAGATGAGATCTTTAGCTCTAGTTTAGATTGTTTTTCCTAACAATCAATCGATTTCAATTTCGGTTTCTGACTCGTATATTGTTATGCTGAATTATTAGAAAAATTATAACTTCCTCTCACGAAGTCAGATTTAGATGTTCTTTATATGTGTAGAATCTGTCATATATACTATAACTTTGGTTAAGATTATTTATACTTGTTAGGTGCATTTGATGTACCCATTTTGTAGCTTTATTTCATAAAAGTACATTGCATATAGGCTTAAACTCATGCATTTTGCATGTTTTTCGGGATTTTTCATGATGCAATTTCATTCAAATATTTTTGTGATATTTCAGGGACTTTTGGAGGTAGGATATTGTTGGAGGAGGTAAATAAAAGTTGCGGACAAAATTTTAGGACTTGCAGAGCACCGAGGAGCAAGATATCAAAGAAATGAGGATTTTGGCTTTACAGACGTTTACACGGCCGTGTAAATGGAAGCCTTGCGTTTACGCGGGCCGTGTAAACGTAGATTTCTGCGCAGTATATTTTTGCGTTTACGCGGGCCGTGTAAATGACAGTGTTAATTTACGCGGGCCGTGTAAACGTAAATGTGGGTTTTTAAGCAGTTTTTCACCATTTTTAAAGGGGGAAACCGATTTTTTACTTAAGGGGGTCGAATTTTGGAGTAGAGAAGGCGATTTCTTGAGGATTTTGGAGTTGATTAACAATTGGGAATATTTGATTTCATTTTGTAAGAACTTTAATTTCATTTTCTAGATTTGTGATCTTGTTCTAGTCATGAGTGGCTAGAACCCTAGTTTCTCCAACTTTATGTCTTGACTTTTTAGTTGTGATTTCAATCATGTGATTTGATGTTTACTTCCAATTCCTACCTAGTGAATTTGATTTTGTTTCAATTGAATGTTTGATTCTAATTTTAATTCTTATTGGCCATTTGAATTAGGGTTAGGTCATTCAAGTTATCTAATTGCAAAATCTGTAATTGTTTTGTGAATTGGACTAAGTAACAAACACTAAATTGATTTCCATTGAATGAATTTAGTGTAAATCTTATTCACATACTCTTAAACTCCCAAGCTTGTGAGGAGTATTGGGTGTTGTTGGGAACATTCACATAAATCTTATTGCAACCTTTTGATTTCTATCTAAGAGCTTGTTTAGACTTAAATTAGAAGGTTAGGTTATTTTCAAAGAGCTTGTTTTGAATTTGACAACTTGGTGAATGGGAAGTGTTAGAACTTGTTAACACTTTCAAGTACCAACTTAGGTGAAATTGAGTAGATATTATTTCATCATTGGAATCACATTGTTAAATTGTCTTGCATAGAGTTGGAGTTATCACAAATCCTGAATTTGTTTTATTTAATTGATCATTTACGTATTGCTTTATCCACTTGTTTAAATCATTGCATACCAACCCCCCCCCCCCCCATTTATGTGACCATTATTGTACCTTCCGCAAAAAGGTATAAACATTTGTTCCGTGTCTCTGTGGATCGACCCTACTTATCTTGTATTACATTTCTAGTACGAAGTAGTAGTGTTTAAGGAGTTATTTTACCCCTTTATTTGTTGGGTTTGACACGCCCTAACAATACTAAATAATCTTCTATCATAAAGTCAACTTTAACGCTTATAATAGTCAAATTGACTAGGCTTAATTTGTGGATGTTACAATACAATTAGAGTTTGGGTTTTCTCCACCTTTAAGCCACATATCAAGACACTTAAGGGTTGTTTGAGAACCTTTTGGATGGTTCAAAATATAGTATTTATACAGATAATTATTCACAACAATTAAAGAAAACAAGATTTTAGCACCAACGCAATGCAATTTAACTCCAAGATTAAGACCAATCCTTGAGCACCTATTCCAATATATGAGAGTGTTTTTCAAGATCACATCTTCAATTTATACATCACATTTTGATCATAAACTACACTTCGTGTCTCAGTCTTACGTGTCTACTCAACAACTTCCTTAACATAAGGCTTTGCCGGTCTCCCTAACTTCCCGTTCCCCTTAGTGTGCAGTAGTGTGCAACTTTGTCAACCGATCAACTACCACATCTGCCTTTCTCGAATGATAGTTGATCTCACAGCCATAATCAACTAGCAACTCCTTCCAACGTTGTTCTCTCATATTCGATTCTTTCTAGTTTTGAATATGGTGCAAACTCTCTTGTGGGTATATATATAGCGTACACATCATACGAGACGTATAATGACGACATAGCTTCAGAGCAAAAACTACCGCCGCCAATTCCAAATCTTGCACCAAATACTTCGCCTTGACACTCTTTGTCTATTGGGAAGTATACACAATCACCTTCATTCGCTACAACATATCACGCCCCAAAGTACAATAATATGTCGATACTTGTTTTCATATTGATCTAGTTATTCAACCTTCGATAATCGATAACCCAACAACATGTATTGTTTTTCTTTTATTTGTTTATCGAATTGGACCGATGCTCCCTAAGACGAGAAACTTTGTCGAATAACCAGCACTCAAGCAGCTCGTGAAGTTACGACACCATTTCCTTCATCTCTGAAGAAACCAACCGAAAAGGTGCTTTTGGCTTTAGGAGCCACATCAGGAGTAGGGTCAAAGAAGGCATGTGTGGTTAATATAATAATACTCGTCGACTAGCATGTGTAATTCTAGGTTTAATAAAGCTGATTTTGGATGTGGAAGGCCTGTATATATGGTCATTTTATGGGAATTTTAGCACAGATGTTCCTCTTTATGCCAATGTAATACTATTGATGGATACGAGCAATGGCAATGAGGTTGAAGCATGGGTAACTTTGAGCCAAGAAGAAATGAACATACTCGAGCGTGACCCTGAGCTCCTCTTATACGCTTCTGTTGAGCCTAGCTAGTCCTTTACAAAGTTAATTCATTTATGGCTCTTTTTAATTTATGTATTTGCAAAACAATACCAATTTATCAAATATCACTACAAGAAATTGTCTATTTTACGACGAGAATGAAGGTCAAACTTTCGTAGATGAATGCAATTTATCGTCGCAAAGTTTAATACTAGAAACAAATTAATCGTCGTCTGAATTCCTCATCGTGCTTTGTGTGGTTGTGGTAATGATCGTCGATTCATGCTAGTCATAAACTCATTAAAATCCTTATAAGACGCGGCGATTGACATATAATAATCGTTAATATTATATATAAGAAAAAATGAATTTAAAGAAACACACAATTTTTAATTAAGATGATTCAATACTTGCAAATTTACAATTATTTCCGAGAGAAATCATGAATGGGTAAGTATAGTCAGCAAGACGGAAGATCCTTCGGCGGAGGACGGACAGCCTGGTCTTTTCCGGGTCCATCTTCCACCACAAACGCCGTCTTCAATCCCCATCCAGTATGCAACTCCAAATGACAGTGAAAAAACCAAACACCTGGATTATCAGCTCTGAAACGAATGGCAGACCAGCCGCCGGTAGGAACACCGACGGTGTTCCTTTCTGGTGGATCCACCAAGTTATACTTCGCCGGATCCTTAGCCGGATCAAAATTCCCAGTCCCTGTTCCAACCACAAAGAAGTTGTATCCATGGAGATGAAACGGATGGGACTCAACGCTCAGTAAATTGGTGTCTTGAATCACAAGTTCAACAGTAGAATTGAAGGCGATTTTGCTGAGTCTTGTTCCATGAGAAGTGAAAAGATTAGCAGTCAAAGGTGCACCGGTGTAGTTAAAAGCTTTAGGTGGCTTATCGGGGAAATCAGAAGTAAACACCCCTTTTATCTTCAAGTAGTGAGCTTGAAGGAGTCCAGTTTGTGGCATCACGAACGTAATATTGTTAAGTGAAGCAGAAAGTCGGGTTCCATTAACGCAAGTTGGGCACACACTTTTTCCTAACCCAATAGTCACAAACAGATTCCGATCAACTTTCAAAGGAACATTCGCCGGAAAATTATGACTGTTGAGGCTCCGGAGCTTATCGTTATAGGTTAGTGCAAACGCGGTGTCATTTGGCAATGGCAGTTGAGGGAGTGAAGGTAGAACGGTATTGGGAATGCCTTTGTACTGGAGGATCGCCGTGGCGGTTTTGTTGTCCACCGGAATAGGAACGTCTTGGAATGGGCGGACTGCCATGAAATATCTCCCCGGAGCACTGTTGGCGTAGACCAAAACGTTTGTGGGTTTGACCGGGAGCTATTAGTATAGCGGCGGTGGTGAAGGGTTTTGTGTAGACAGCGTCAATCTCAACCACCGTCATGTTGTGGCCGGAAACGGCAAAGAAAAGCTCGTCGTTTAGGGCAGCGTTTGCGATCCTCAGAAGATACTTCTTACCTTGCTCGACTTCCATGGCAAACGTATCTGCATATCAATTATCAAACACGAAACCAATCTTAATTAATAACAAAATATACAAATGGGCAAATGGTATTGCATGCATTATTGAGTCTTTACGTTTTTCTGAGCATGGAAAGAGTGGGCCAGGTTTTTCCATTAATGGTGTGAGCATCAGACATGTTAGGAGGCAAACCCATTGCATTCCCTTGCTTTACAATATCTTCAACATCACCATGCCACCATTCTCCTGCATTATCAAGCCATGATATACGAAGATTTTTGTATAAAAAACCAAAATTATACGTTTTGAGTATTTTCATTCATTATTTAAGGGTTACAACTTACCAAACACCAAGACTTGTTCACCATCGGGCTTTGGGAACGGATATGGAGTTCCTTGTTGTGGTAAAATGACAATGGCACCATAAACAGTAGCTCGGAGCCAAAGAATATGAGCATGCCACCACAATGTCCCTCTTTGTCCGGTGACATTGAAGTCGTAGACATAGCTGCTTCCTGTTTGGATTGGACACTGTGTTATGTATGCTGGTCCATCTGCCCACCCGTTCGCATATTGTTTCAACCCGTGCCTAAAAACACAAGAAATACAAACAAAAAACGTCATGAAGCCAGACATTTAAACTAGTGGTAATTATAAGGGGAATAATCATGGATTGATAAAGATACATATATACCAGTGAATTGACATGTTATATTGTGCATGATTTGAGACGTTGATGACCACTCTATCGCCTTCTCGAGCGTAAATGGTAGGACCTGGAAATCTTCCGTTTACTGTCACTATGGGTTTTGCATGGCACAATCGGCTCACGTTATTCACTTGTACCTATTCATGATGAATAAAAACAAAAAGGGTCATCTTACAACCATATATGGTCAACTCATTTATCTCGTGTTTCTAAAGCTAATGAACTCACATCAAACTGATACTTCTTGGTGGCAGCTTGTGCGTGAAGAGAAACCAACGACACAAATCCAAAAAGAAAAAGATACAGGCCGCTGGAAATGAAGCGCGAACCACCACCGGATACCATTTTTTCTGTTGTGAGCCGGGAAGTGGTGTGTTTTCCGGTGAATTAGAAGGGGAAGGTGAAGGTGGATGGAGATGTACATACGAACTTGCGTATATATAGAGAGTGATTAGTTGAAGAAGAAGTGAGTAGATGGTAAATGAAAGCTTTGAAGTTAAAGTTTGTGTTTATGGAAAGATTTATATGGAATGTGAGAGGTACAGAAGGCCAACCATATTTGCTGAGCTTACCGAATGTGTCTTCCGCATTGATCTTTATCGTTAAGCAAAAGGAAGAGATTATGTATCTTTGGTTTATTACTCTTCCCTGATTATTCTAACATTTTTACTTCGGTTTGCAGTTGGGACTTTATGTCCAAATTAACCCTTGAATTAATCATACTTTTGATTTTGTTTGGTTCGGTTTTGTGGAAAGTTTGGTTCGTGATTTTTTTTTTAATCTCGTTTCCTTTTTTGCTGTTGGTTCGACGTCGCTGCCTTTTGCCGCCTTGTGCTAATTCATCGTTACAGATTGACCTATACAACGACATCTCGTCGCATGCTTCATTCTTTATAAACATTTTCTTAAATGAATAGTTAATTAAATTCATATATTGACGTCATATGGTAGAAGTAATTTATTTTTATAGGCAACGATATGGATTGATCGGTTTTGAAAAAGAAATTGTTATATTAATTTCCATAGTTAACACAGCAATATATATAAAGCCAATACATTCAAATTTATAGATATAATATCATACTACCCATATATACATTCACATTTCCAAAAAAAAAAAATAATAATAAATCCAAATTTTAACACAAAGCCATTTGAAGTTTAAGAAAAAACATCCAAAGTTTAATACCAAATGTATAACTCAAATTCCACTGAAATGCAATCGCTCACATTTTACTATCAAAACTAAAACTAAATATATTATATCTTGTATCCATGTTAAATGGTGATAATAATTATATTAAAATATTATTAATTTCATTTAATGTGAAATATATCAACATTTAACATCAAAATGAAGATGAATAAAAATAAAATATTATTTAATTTCTTTAAAATTAATATTCATCTCTCGTCGTCCTTTCATGTGAAATGCTTATTAAGATTATTTAATTTCTCCAAAACTAATATTCATCTTTCGTCGTCCTTTCATGTGTCGTCGTCCTTTCATGTGAAATGCTTATTAAGATTATTTAATTTCTCCAAAACTAATATTCATCTTTCATCGTCCTTTCATGTGAAATGCTTACTGAGATTATCAAAGTGGAGTTATTACACTCACCATAGTTATATTAATTTTCATTGTTTCGCCAATCTTTTTTTATTGTACTCGACAATGATACTCCCATGCATTAAACAAATTATACATAAATTTTGTAGAATGGATAACCCGCTTGTTTCAATATGTTGATATTTATCGGTCCATTGATTTTCAATGTCTGAGGCAAAATTCTAAATTAACATCCTTATTTATTTAAAAAAAATACCAAAAATGAAATAAACTTTATAGGCAAATCAAAACAAGGTTATACAAACAAAAGCATACATAAAATTCATCTAAAACGATACATTCTTCCATTTTTTGAAACAAAAACATCTATTATTTTATCATAATCAAGATTTCGTAGGAATTGACTTTCAATACTCAAAATTGCTAATCAATTTAATTTTTTTAAGTCATGGTACTTCGAAGATAATTTCAATAACTTCAATTTCGAAAAACTTTTTCCGCGGAAGCAACTGTGACCGCTACCGTCAACAAAATCATACATGCCACCAACACATTGGGAAACATGTCCATTTCCTTTGCAAACTCCATAATTTGAATAGCTATCCAAGGAAGTTCACACTTGTATGCTTCATTCGATAACATTTCCTGAAAAACTTGTAACTCAATAAATAAATCTTTTCTATCAATATCGTGTTCCTCACCATTTGTCAAATTTGTTTCAAGTTTCTTACAACATTTTTTTAATTCATCATCAAGTAAAAGATTTTAACTTTGAACCATCAAACAAAAATCCAAAAAATAGATTCAAAATGTTACATTTGTTCAAACCTACTTCTCACTTAAGTTAGAGTCATATCTACTATAACAATAAAATAATAAGTTCTAAATTTTTCTTGAGATGATTGATGTTCTTTTTCGATATTTGGAACTTCCTCAAATTGTTTTTTCTACCATAAACACGGTTGATAGAAAATTTTAGTTCAACTCTAATATTTTCTGCTGTCTTTAGGCTCATTAATAGCAAAATCAAACCTATTTTCCCTATATTTTTTAAAATAATTAACTAATCTCTTTAACTTTTTTATTGCAACATCAATAATCATATATTTGGATTGTAATTTTTTACTTATCAAACTAATTCTAAATAAAATTTTATAACATATCATTAAACTTAAAATAAATTCAAAATTATAAAATTCACCATCTACTAATGATTTTGTATCTCTACAAACCTTACCATCATCACTCACTTGAGCTAATTTTATTAATGCTTCTTTTATTTGAAAAAATTGAGTTTTTTTTTTTTTTTTTTTTTTTTTTTTTTTTTTTGCTTTAACACTTTCAATGTGACTTTCTCAATGAGTAGTAGATAATGATTTTAGGGTTAACTCATCTACATCGTCAAATAAAACATTCCATCTATGTGTGGAGGTAGAAAAAAGATTATATATTGTTTGACAAGTACCAAATAAAGTTTTAGCTTTATGACAAGAATTTTTCATATCACACAAAATTAAATTTAAATTATGACATCCACAAGGCATATAAAAAACTCTTGAGTTTACATTAAACAATCTTTTTTGTACACCTTGATGTTTGCTTTTCATATTTGCTCCATTATCATATCCTTGTCTTCAAATGCAATTAATATCCAAGTCAAGATATTTTAAAGTATTTTGTAAAACATAAAAAAGTCTTAAACCAATACATTTTCTTAAATGAATAGTTAAATACATATACTGAGGTCATATGGTAGAAGTAATTTATTTTTATAAGCAACGATATGGATTGATCAGTTTTGAAAAAGAAATTGTTATATTAATTTCCATAGTTAACACAACAATATATATAAAACCAATACATTCAAATTCATAGATATAATATAATACTACCCATATATACATTCAAATTAGAAAAAAAAAACATCCAAACTTTAACACAAAACCATTAGAAGTTAAAAAAAAAACATCCAAAGTTTAATACCAAATGTGAAATGTATAACGCAAATTCTACCAAAATGCAATTGCTCAAAGTTTACTACCAAAACTAAAATTAAATATATTCTTACATGTTCTTCCTAACTATCTTCTATCCAGGAGCGGCTCAACTAATTTGAATTTTTAGGACCTTTGTACTCAACTTATATTGTCAACTTATATTGCAGTAAAGGTTGTACTACTTTTGTAATCTCCTTGACTTTGATGTGGACCTAAACACAATCACTATATATAGTGTACATATTATTACCTTAAATTAACATTTAGCATCTTCCAGTTTATAACACCAAATTAAATAATTATGTACATTAACTTATATTCATTTTTTTAAATATGTATTTCGAGTTAGTTAACTTTTAATTAGAATATTAGATACAATGACTTACAAATTTTAATAGTCCACAGCCACCCATTTTTCAAATATAGTCCATAATAGCATTTTTCAAATCTAGTCATGCTGAAGGTTCTATGAGTGTTCTAGATAGTTTGTAGGCTGGTGAGGCGTTCCAGTCATGCTGAAGGCTATGTCAGCGTTCCAGATAGTTTGTAGGTTGGTGCGGCGTTCCAGTCATGTCGAAGACTCTGTATATATGTTGTTGTTTTCTATTATGCTATGTGGTTATATTTTGGGGGAACTCACGAAGCTTCGTGCTTACAGTTTTGGTTTATGGTTTCAGGTACTTCAGTAGATTGTGACAAGGCGAATGCGTGATCATACACATCCTTGGTTTTACAATTGATTGGATCTTGGGAGACTCTGATTTTAATTAATGTTCGAAAACAATGGTTTTGTGACACTTCTAATAATAAAAGGGTTGTTTTGAAAAGTTTAGATTTGTTGAAAATTTTGGGATGTTACAAAATTACATCTTTAAGTGCACTTGCTCTTTTCACCATTACAAAAATAAACACATGATGCCTCGTAGATCTCTAACTACCTCCTCATCTTTTATTTCTTGGAATTTGGATATCATTTCTTCTTGATTATGGGATTTCACATCCTTGTGATTTCCATTGTTGACATTATCAAAGGTTATACAACTATTTTTATAATGCATCTCCACCAATATGGCCTATATCTACAACCTACTCGACCCATTTTACCCCTTCGCATGGAGGTTTTGAGGATCTACCCTCTTGGTTACACTAGATTATATCACAATTAAGTTAAGATAAATATAATATGTACTCAACTAATGGTATCCCTTATGTATATCTCTTTATTTATAAAGTGGTAGTATGTAATTTTCTCATTTTATATGAAATTTAATTCACTACAATATAAATTACAATGCCAATGTTGTATTTTATAAAGGGAAAATGACACGTTTGCCCAACAAAGTATTTCGAATTTGCCCATTCAATCCCTAAACATTTTTTGGTGCTTTATGAGGGAATAAACTTTGAAGTTACCAGTCTTTTTAGTCCCTCTAACCTATATTAGCCAGTTTCATGTGCCACTTAAACATTTTTCCATATAATAGTCAAAATCACATTTTAAACGTCAATCATACAAATAGACCTGAAATTTAGGGTATGTGTTTTCACTCTCGGAACTGCCATACAAAAAGTTGGTACGAACTATGTATCGTCTTCTTTCTATGGTATTTAGGGGGTGTTTGGGATTGATTTTCAAAACATCTTATTGGCTTATTGGCTTTTGAAAAGATAATAAGTCAAAAAAAATATTTGGCAAACTCAAAAGCACTTTTCAGAAGAGCTTTTCCATTAGCTTCAAAAAACACTTTTTAAAATATGTGTGAAACTTGGCTTTTGGAAACTGCTTTTGGCTTTTTCAACCAAAATAACTTCAAAAAACACTTTTTAAGCCAAACACATTTTAACTTATTGACTTATTGGCTTTTTCACCATAAAATCTAATTCAAACACTTCTTAAAAAACGCATGTTG